TGAGCTTCTTTTGCTCATTACTCTGCTGTTTATGTGGTACTGAGAAATCGAATCCAGGGCTTTATGCATACTAGGCAAGCATTTTACCACTAAGCCACATTCCCAGCCCATGGTTGCAAATTTCTTAAACCACAAAAGAAGGTGGATAACAGAAAGTAAAATCATTCCTACTTCTGCCTTCCAGAAAAAGCTGCCACCTTGAAGCAGGCACTTTCAGGAATCAGGTTTATTCATGACCATGAAGGAACACAGTAGAGTGGATTCCCATCTCCTTGGGAGAAGAAACAGCAGACTCTCTGGAATGGAATGAAATGGTCATGCTTAGTGGTGACAGATACCAAAAAAATACTTTCCTTTCTATTTTGTCCTCATCTTCACCTGCCCAAGTCCTCCCAGAGCTGCTTCCTCTGGGATACCTTGCCTCTGAAAAATACCCTATCTGTCCTCTGCTCCCCTCTAACATTCCGAGACACATTCCAAGGTCCTGTGCAAAAGGATACTTCCTTTGGTCTGTCTCTCCAGCTGATGCTTTGGAGTGGGGTGGGATTTCCTGCTACCATACATCATTCAAGCTGCAGGTCAATAAATGGTCATATCCTTGCCTGCCTGCCTGCCTTCCTCCCTTCTTCCCTCCTTCCCTCCCTCTCTCCCTCCCTCCCTCCTTCTCTCTCTCTCTTCCTTCCTTCCTTCCTCCCTTCCTTCTTTCCTCCTTCCTTCCTTAATTCCTTCTTTCCTCCTTCCTTCCTTATTTCCTTCCTTCCTTCTTTCTTATTTCCTACTTCCTTCCTTATTTCCTTCCTTCCTTTCTGCCTTCCTTCCTTCTTTCCTCCTTCCTTCCTTATTTCCTTCCTTCTTTATTTCCTACTTCCTTCCTTATTCCCTTCCTTCCTTTCCACCTTCCTTCCTTCTTTTGCAGTAGTGAGTATTGAACTCAAGACTTGCTTGTACTAGGCAAGTGTTTACCACTTGAACCATACCTCCAGTCCTTTTGTTTGTATTTTGCTTTTGAACTAAAATGAAGTGGTAGATCCATGGCTATGATAGTTAAGAAAACACTCTGGAGGAGAAAGCTAATTAGCAATCAATTCACGGAGTTAAATATAATTGTATGAGGGTAAAACAAAGAAATACAATGGGGCAATGAAAATATATTACAAAGTCGGAATGGTTGGAGAAAGCTATTCTGACAAGTGCAATCATATTTCACTGAATCTAAAATCATTACTTTTTAAACTTAGTGGTATTGTAAGTACCACTTAGAAAGTACCACTAATTAGAACACATGCTTTTACATTTAGAGTGTTTGCCACTTATTAATGACACAGACTCAGATGTTTGTACATACAATGAAAAGGAACAAGAAATCTTAAGAATTGGTTAAGGTCTTCCTAACCTCATTCCTTCCCATCAGAGTCTGCTGAATTACTTTTCAACTCAACTCATCCATTTATGACCATGCCATACCACTTTCCATTCCTTCCAGTGCTGCAATTATGTAGAGTTGTTATTTCTGGATCTTTTTTTCTTCCTACTCCAGGGTCTTGAACTCTAGGCCTGGGCTCTGTCCCTGAGCTTTTTGTTCAAGGCTGGCACTCTACTACTTGAGCCACAGCACCTTACAGACTTTCTTGCGCGGGCTGGCTTTGAACCCCAGTCCTCAGATTTCAGCCTCCTAAGTAGCTAGGATTACAGGCATGAGCTACCAGCACCTGGCTACTTCTGGAACTTTTTATTTATTCTGTTGATACCCATTCTGCCAGTTCTGATGCTGCTATTTTCTTGATTGTGCCAGAAAGTATCAGTGAAATGTGTTTTAGACAACCAGAACTTACATTCCTTCTTCAAGTGATCCTTAAGTGGTTTCTTACTTGAACACTTAAAGTTCCATTGTCCATTTGTGCCAGGGGAAATAATAGCCAAGTATATTCATGTGTGGGTGGTGACAAGTTTGGCAGGGCAGCAGCAATTGTAAGACTCATCCCAGTTTCAGAAATGGGAAAATAATGTGCCTTGCAATCAATGAAAATCATTTACAAGAAGTCTAGGAGTAGGTGGGAGCTCTCATTATTCCAGTGACCTGGTGATGACAAAACTCTTAAGTGGATGGCTTTGTGGTTCCTCTAATCACTCGATGTCAGTTCCAGGCATCTGAACCACACTGAATGGGAGAAAGGCAGGGAGAAGGGTCAGGCCTTTTTCTTCATCTCTCAGGAAGGAAAAATATCTTTCCCAGAAATAAATCCCTTATGTCTCATTGACAAGAACTGCATTATAAGGCCATCTACAGCTATGGGGGGGATTAGGGATGGGGAAAATCTGTTTCTTACTCACTATTTCAAGAATGGAATTGTGGATGACTTTTGGACAGTTAGCTTAATAGGGTATCCCAATTTGGTCAAATACATTTAAGGTACACTGAGTTAAACAACCCAAGAACACTGAGGACTTCTCAGAGCTTTTTACTATGGTTAATATGATTTATTGAATCATGAAGAGTATGGGTATTAAGCTTTTCATACCTAGGAAAATTTACATTCCTATAGGAAATCTAATTTTGTGGGAAACTTTTGGTTGCTCTCAGAAGATGATGAGCCAGAATAACAAAATGAAGGATCAGAATGGGACTATAGCTTTGTGGTAAAGTGTGTGCTCAGCATGCAAGAGGTCCTGGGTCCTATCCCCAGCACCAAAAAGAAATTTTTGGAAGACGATAGAATTTTCAAAGATTTTAAGTTAAAATCTGGAGAATTTAAGATACTAGAAAAAGAGAAAGTTGAAATGGTAGAGGAGATTGGGGTTTATGGGAGGAGAATAGTAATGAGATTTTTGAGTGAAGTCTGAACTGGACTAAGAAGTTTACAAATGTGAGAGAGATATTGATTTTAAACCTCTTTGTTTTGACTGAGAAGACTAATTTGTTTTCATGACTCTTGTTTCTATGCCCCTGTGATTTCCTTTGACACAGGACTGGGTTGGCACTGAGCTATTATTATCTCCTCTTTCTTAATTCTGCCACTTCCAGTCTTCATGATGCTAGTGATATTGGAGCTAGTCTGACTGACTGGCTTCTGAGAGTGAAACTGAGCCGTTTGCTAAAATGGACAGGTGCTGCTTTTTCTCAGATGTATTGCTGAGCATTTTCAACAACGGGCAAAGTACATCAATGGAGTTTAGTCCTTGACTATTGATTTGGCCTGGGGGTTATGAGGCCTGTCCTGGTCCTCTTGTTGGTCAGACATGATTTTTTTTTCTTCTCTGATTTTGACAGCAACTTAGATGTCTAAGCGACTTACATGGTCACCAAAGTTGGCACTGTTGAATATCTACTCTGCCTTAGGTACCCTGATGGGTATTTGAAGGGCATAGTCTCACTAGGGCCTCACCAGCATCTCGCCAGGTGGATGCTGTCTTGAAGATGGTCAATCAGGTGCTAAATTATAGGAGTGGAATATGAATCCAGATCTGACTTGAGAACTGTTGTTCTCTTCACATTTTGTGGCTTCTGTAAAGCACTTCTGCATCATTTGTACCTTTGTCTTGTTACATTTTGTCAGAAATAAAGCTATATTTTTGCAATTTCCTAATAATACCTAAGGCAGTTGCCCATAGAAAGTATTCACTAAATCATTACTGAACAGATAAATAAGAAGATGAATGAGGGCCTGGGAATGTGGTTTAGTGGTAGAGTGCTTGCTTAGCCTGCATGCCTCTCTGGGTTCATTTCCTCAGTACTATATAAACAGAAAAGGCTGGAAGTGGTAACTCAAGTGGTAAGAGTGCTATTCTTGAGCAAAAGACAAGGACAGCACCCAGGGCCTGAGTTCAAGCCCCAGGACTGGCAAAAAAAAGAAAGAGAACATCATAGGTTCATGTGATGGCAGAGGCCTATAAACACAGCATTTGAGAGTTCCCCCACAGTCCCAATTACTCTGTCAGGGTTCCTCTTCAAAGTATGGATTTCTCTCAGCCTGAGACATTCCTGAAGCAGTACTCTACCCTTCAGCTTTCACTGTGTTTCTTTCCACTGAGACAGAGTCTGTTATCAGGCAGTTAGGACTGTCTCTTCATTATATGATGCACTTGCCTTTCCTAAACAAAAGAACAGTCACCACCCCTGAGATTGATATCCTGGCACATTCAGAGTATGAAATAGTTACAGTCAGCAGCAGGGACTTTTTAATGTGCTGGTCTTGAGGCCTGAACTCAGGACCTGGGTGCTGTCCCTAAGCTTCTTTTGCTCAAGGCTAATGCTCTACCATTTGAGCCACAGCTCCATTTCCAGCATTTTGACATTTAGAGAAAAAGAGTCTCAAGGACTTTTCTTCCAAGGCTGTCTTTGAACCACAATCCTCAAATCTCAGCCTCCTGAGTAGCTGAATGTAGACATGAGCCACTGGTACCCCAGCTCGGGCTGTTTTTTTAGTATCATTTTTCTCTTCCTACCTCATTACTTTTTGGGTATTTTATGAGAGGCTCAAGTGCCACCATAAGTGAATGTGTCATATAAACAGCTGCACAGAAAAAAGTAATGAATGCTGTCACACACTGAAATAACGCTGTCTGCATTTTATATCTTTTGGAAAGAACAAGGGATGAGCACATAGAAAATTTGGTTTGGCCTTTTTCTAGCTAGATTCTTGTGTACTGAGAACTGAGAAGAACCTGGCCATATATGGATTTTTACTGGTGTAACAGCAGAGAGGCAACCAGCTGTGTCTAGAGTGCAGGGATTACAGGCAGAAATTGTTCCTTGGCCCTGGTAGATCTGGGGCTATAGCAAATCATGGGGTGTCAGGAAGAGAAGAATAATGACTGAGACTTAGAGGAGGTCCTGGAATGTGCTGGGCTTGCCTCTCATTGTTTTCAGCAATGTCCTTGGATCCCTACTCCCTTGCAGAAACATCACAGGATTTGATGTTGACCTTGCCCATCCTCAGGGCAAGGCTACCTGTGAACCTTTGATCAGGCCGCTGACATGTGCCTTCCTGTATTATATCCAGGGACAGGGTGCCTTATCGGAGAGACTGAGGAGCTTCAGCATGCAGGACCTCACCACCATCAGGGGAGACGGTGCCCCTACTCCCTCAGGCCCCCCACCCCCAGGGCCTGGGCGGGCCAGCGGCAAACATGGCCAACCTAAGATGTCCAGGAGTGCTTCTGAGAGTGCTGGAAGCTCAGGTAGGTGTCTCTTTCACTTCCCCTCTTGCCCATCCTTTAGGCCTCACTTTCAATGAGAGGCTCAGGCCACCATATGTCATGCAACCTGGCGCTTGCCCTGGTATCTGCCACAAACAGAGATGTCTATCAGATCCTCTAAGGGGCCTAGCACTATTTAGGCTACTCCTAGAAACCTTGCCCTGAGGCAGGTTAAGTCACTGCACTAAAGGGTTCAGTGTCCTTCATTTATTGACTGGGAAACTAGGGTGTGGAGTGATAGTAGTTGGTAGTATCTAGAGGCAGCAGACACATCTCTCTCTCTCTTTTTTTTTTGTTGGTCATGGGGCTTGAAAACACATCTCTTTTTGTTCTCTGTGATCCCACACTTAGGGGCTTTCCCTGTCCTGAGCACCTGAATGTCTTCTCTCACCCACCCAGGGATGTCAGCTTACCACAGCCTCTCTCCCTGCCTGAGTAGTTCCTGTCCCTTCTATCCCTCCACTGTCCCTTTCTCCTCCCTGACCATCCACTCACCATGAATACCTCAGCCCCTCCAGACTAAGGTCCACACTACTCTAAGGTCTAATTTGGGGGGAGGCAACATCTCCACTTCCACTGTCTAACTGGTTGTCAAGCAAGCACCCAGCATAAGGCTGTCCCCATGAAGACTGACCTGGGAACCTTGTTCCACATGCAGAAAGGATCCTAGACCCATCCCCAGAGGCCTCCATAGGTCTAAGGTGAGACCTGGACCTGTGATGCTATGGGAATTAAAATGTATTCAGAACCTCCTGGCATCTGATCCACTGGTGTAGGCGTCAGGCTCCTGGAAGATAGACCCGTGGACAAAGGAGGTAGGCAGCTGGGCTAGGACTCAGGGTTTTACATACTATTCCTCACAGAGATTGCAGGCTCAGGTGCTCAGCACTGCCATCAGCTAGGGTTGATAATGGGAGGATTGAGGATGGTTTTGGAACTCCTCCTTGTGAAGGGAGTGGGTAGGGAATTGGATCATTCTTTTGGAACTTGCAGGGGTGTGCCTGGTGATCACCCAGGACACCTAGACCCTATGTGCTGGGCGATGTGGCCTGCAGGGACATCTGGACCCCAGATGTTGATACATCCTACCTGACTTTGGGTACAGGGATTAAGCTGTGGGCATAATGAGCCACCTTCAGATCTGAAATACCTAAATCTATTGACACTGCTTGATATTTGTTTCCTCCCCTCTCAGGAATGCTCCCTTTGCTTCTCCCCCAGGTTTGAAGACTGTGGATCTTTGTTGGCAAATGTTTTAACCTAGAAGCAGGGCAAGGCTGGAAAGGGAGGCTTGGTTGGGCTTGGGTTGAGGACCACCATAGGAAAAGGTTATCCCCTGAGAGAACTCTCAACTGTAGAACCTAGAATGGAACCTTCAGATTTCAGGCAGGAAGGGACCTTAGATTATCACTCAATCTGACTCTGACTTTACCCTCTGATATCACCAGCATCACCTGGTAAAAGGCTGCAGTTAAATGTGACTACCTGGTTTCTGGTTCAGTGCCCAGTGGTCATTTACCCAAGGACCATCCAGGCTTCATGAGTAGCTACAGCTTCTGACCTGCTATGTATGTATACTACCCAGAAATTCGACCGGCTCATTGGCTACTGAGCCTCAAATGGAAGCTGCATCCTAGAAGAAAAAAGTGTGGGATGATTTGTTTTGGTGTTCTGCTACCTTCCATTAGCACAACCGGTGACATCCCCTGCCGCATCTGAGCACTCTGGCAGTTGGGTGGAGAGAACCAGCTATGCTGCAACCAACACAACCAACCCTTCTCTGCACTTCCCCTTGGCCTCAGCACCTGTGGCTTCAGGACACAGAGAGGGAGGTATCAACGTCAGGGAAGCCAGGGATTTGTGTCTTTTTCCTCAGCTGTCCTGGGGCCTAAAATAAAAGCCATTCCAGAAAGGAAGACAGGTGAAAGGTAACCTAGACCCTGGATGTAGAACAAAAGCCTACAAAGAAGGCTTTGGGGCTCTTGTGCCTCTGAGGGTGAGGGTCGGTGGCCCTGGGAAGAATTCTAGCAGAGGAAGTCTACCCACCCAGGGCTGCTATGGCCTTCCGGACATGGCCAGGTAGAAGAAAGAACACCCCAGTATAGGATCTGACTGGGCTTCTTGCTGGTAACTCGAGGCCTGTGCAGACACAGAAGATGCCACACAAGGAGCAGACACCACTAGGCAATCATGTTGCTTGTTCCTGCTGGGAGTAGATTCAGCTTCAGGATTTTTCCCCAGAACAATTCCCCAGGAGGTCACTTGCATGGATTTGATCTTGATTCAGGCAAAGGTCCCATTCTCTTTTACCTTTTCTTTCAGAACAAAGGCCCAGTAATCTCTAGTCAGCCTGTGTCTTGGGGCTTATGAGGAGAGAAAAGGTTATTTGCAAACCCTGGGCAGGTGCTGAGCTGAGAACAGTAACTAGGGGGAGAGGTCAAGTAGGCAGAGGTGACTGCAGGCCCTCAGAGCTCTGGGCTGCACTTGGGAGCTACAGTTAAATGGCACAATCAACATGCATTTACTGAGAACTTACTACATGACCAAGCCCAGATATACACCAATGGAGTATGTAAAGCAGTGTTCAATTAGGTCTTCAATCAAATGCCCAGACACTAGTGCATAAGTGTCCAGAGAGCAAAGGAGATGTCCCCTAAAAACTTTTTGAACCAGAAGCCTTGGAGAAAAGGTTTCTGGAAATGGGGTAGTTGGAATTATTTCCTTAAGAAAAATTTTGCCCTAGCTGGCTGCTGGTGGCCCACACCTGTAATCCTAGCTACTCAGGAGACTGAGATCTGAGGATCATAGTTCAAAGCCAGCCTGGGCAGGAAAGTCTGTGAGACTCATCTCCAGTTAACCACCAGAAAACCAGAAGTGGCACTGTAGCTCAATGTGTTAGAGTGCTAGCCTTGAGCAAAAGAGCTCAGGGACAGTGCCCAGGCCCTGAGTTCAAGCCTCATGACCAACAACAACAACAAATAAAAATAAATAAAATAAAAAGGAGAGAGAAATTTTGCCCTATCCCATACCCTTCCTAGGGCTGAATCAGGGCCTGGTGACAGTATATTCTAGCAACTGTGAGAAAGCTGAATCTGAGATGTTTCCCTCCCCCACCTTGTTTTCCTTTCAAAACTCCACTTTGCTAGGAGCCCTGCATTGAGCACGTAGGAACCACACCCTTTCCTGGTGTGTCTGTTTCTCCTGGGCTGGCTCCTGTGGAGTGGGGATATGGTTGATGGTCCCACCCTCCCCCATTCCCACAGTGTGTACCTGCTGCTCTACCTGCAGGACCCGGAAAGGTGAGTAGCAGCCAGCCTCCTTGCAGCTTGCTGGGCTCTCGCCTCAAGAGGAGGCTCTAACCAGAGTGACAATGCTCCAAAGTTCTAGGGGTTCTGGGCCTGGTACCGCCAAGAGAGCCCACTTACTAGCCGCTTTGCCACTCACTAGCCGTGCGGTTTTGTGTGAGTCACCTAACTACTCTGAACCTCGGTTGCTTCCATCTTGAAATGAGGATAGAGCTCACCATCTTCCTACTTCCCTGCACTGTTGTGAAAAATCGCCATGAAGGAGCTTTTACAAGGACAATTACTATTTGAGCCTTGTTCCAGCGAAGAGAACTCAGAGAGAGGCTGAATCTGGGATCTCTCTCCCTGTTCTGGATTGTTCCTGCCCAGTGTGTGTGAGTGACAGCTTGGTGGAGCCACAGCTGCCCTGCCACTGGCACCCCCAGGGCCTGATCCTCCTGTTTGCCTAACTTTAACTGGAGACCTTGGGGACTAGGAAGGATCTAAACTAACAGCTTCTCCATGACCTCCCCCTTCCTGGCTTCTCCATGGAGCAGCTGTCCTTGGCTCTGAAGGCTGGAGGGGTCATCCTAGCCCAAAACCTGCTGGCTGATGCGAGAAAGAAAGAAAGGCACACAGTGCCCCTGATATTGCCTGCGGTGCTCCCCTGGAGCTAGAGAGACGCTTGCTTGCTCCTCCCATATCCACACCAGGACATGAACCTGCACGCATGAATGTTCTGCTCTCCCTTTAATTTCTTAGCAATAAATCTTTTAAGGTCTTTGGAAGAACAGGGGGTGTTGAAGGGCTGCAAATCCAAGGTAAGCAGCAGTCAGAAAGTGCTGAGCAGGGACACAGCTAGAGAATAGTGTTCTATCCTGGCTCCACTAATCAAAACACCTCCCTCTGGTGCCTCCAGTCCACATTGGAAGTTGAGGGGCACACAGATATTTTCAGGGCTAGGACTCAGGCCCAGTGGCCCTCCAGAAACAACCATGCAGTTCTGGTGAGCCCAGGTGACCAGAGTTATTTGTACCTATTCATCCTTTAAAAGTTTGAATCTGAGTAGGGTGTTGGTGTCTCATGCCCATAATCCTAGCTACTCAGGAGGCTGAGATCTGAGGATCTCAATCAAGCTAAGAAGCCTCAGAGAGGCCAAGCTTCTCTGGCAGAGACGTCCTTGAGACTCTTTTTTTTGGGGGGGGAGGTCTGGTCGTGGGGCCTGAATTCTGGGCCTGGGCGCTGTCCCTCAGCTCTTCAGCTCAAGGCTAGCGCTCTACCACTTTAGCCACAGTGCCACTTCTGGCTTTTTTCTTTTTGCTTATGTGGTGCTGAGGAATCGAACCCAGGGCCTCAGGCATGCAAGGCAAGCGCTCTACCACTGAGCCACCTTCCCAGCCCCGTCCTTGAGACTCTTAACTCTAATAATAAACTATCAAAAAGCTGAAAGTGGAGCTGTGCTCAAGTGGTAGAGCACTACCCTTGAACAAAAGAAGTTCAGGGTCAGTGCCCAGGCCCTGAGTTCAGGCCCCCGGACTGGCACCACCATCCCTAAATAAAAGTGTGAATCTTGGCTGGGAGCATGGCTTAAGTGGTAGACCACTTGCCAAGCAAACAGAAAAAGCCCTGAGTTCAATCCCTGGTATTGAGCAAAAAAAAAAAAAAAGGAGTTTGAATCTTTAAATCCATGACTTCTAA